AGGAAGGTAACAAATGCATCAATCAAGAAACAAGAAAGGATAAAATAAATGAGGGATAGTCCACAGACCTCAGGGGGCCAGTTCCTTTTATCCTCTGACTTAATACAGAATTTAGTTGCTAAAAATGCCCCTAAATGGATCTGTGAAAAAAAAAGAATCAGATGTTCCCCATAACTGAACAATCCACCATTGTTAGAGAAAGCTATTCTTCCCTCCAGCTGGTGTAGCTTAGTGGATTGAACATGGGCCTGCGAACCAAAGGATTGCGGTTCTATTCCCAGTTGGGGCACATGCCTGAGTTGCAGGCCAGTTCCCGGCAGGGGACGCACAAGAGGCAACCATACATTGATATTTCTCTCCCTCTCTCCTTCCCTTCCCATCTAAAGATAAATAAATAAAATACCTTATAAAAAAAAAGAAAGCTATTCTTATAGTTTTTGAGCTCAACTATCTCTACATGAATGAAGGGGGGGGGGATCAAATCCATACAGCCCTGGCTGTAAATACTAACATCTTCAGTCTACTGAAAAATTCAAAGCGGAGCCAGCCTGCTCAGCTCTCTGGGCCAAAGAGGTAAGGAGGTGATCTCTTTCATCAGGGATATGAACAAACCTCAAGGGAAGAGCCTGAAGCAGTTGGTAAAAATCAAGCCATGTGAGATCTGAGATAATCTTCCTCTAAGACCACCAATGCCAAAGATCCCTCCAACTTCATCTTCTCTGCCCTTCATTTTTCATTCAATGACCTGAAAACACAAGACTTCTATCAAGAGAAATGAGGCGAGTACTGACCCCCCAAAAATCTCAATTTCTTCCAATATATACCTTACAAAATCCTAGTGAAAATCCATTCCATACCTCCAAGGACAACCAATCATGATCAGAAATTCATGACAGCGAGATCGTTCAAAATGACAACCACTATGTTAAATGTTAAGGACACAGTTATTAGCAATCTGACTTCATGAAGCTTACTTTCTAATGGGGGAGATTAAAGCTATAGCATGTTATATATAGCCTGATAAGGGATAAGAAGAAAAATAAAACAGATAATGGGGTAGGGAGTTAAGTAAATGTATGTGGGGCAGGGGGCACTGTTAGTGACATTTGAGTAAAGATCTGAGGAGCTGAGGGCACAAGGCTGTGCAGTTGTGTAAGGAAAAGATGATCCAGGGAATGAGTGCACAACCCCTGGGGCAGAAGTGTGCTTGGTGTGCTCAAGGAACAGCCAGGAGACCAGTGCACACACTGGAGGCAGAAGGCTGCTTCAGATCTAGGGCTTCAAAGGCAACTGTAAAATCTGTGGTTTCTATTCTGAGAGAAAAAAGAAGTCATCTCCTCTTCTGACTCCTTGCTATTAAAGAATAGCAGGCACCCTGCTTTTATATATGCAAATTTTTTTAATTTTGTTTCAAATTGTGGCAATCTACACTACAGATCATATAACGAACATAAAGACAGCTAGAACTGCAACTCTGAAATTTGACTTGACAGTTCATCACACCTTCAAGAAAGGTTCTCAGTTCTCTCAAACCTGTGGAGAACAGCAACCAGAGGAAAAAACACAACTGAAGAGTGAACTGAATTAACCTAACCTACCACTTTCTGCCACTAAACTTTTGTGTTGATGCCCCAGGCTCCACAAAGAGGAAAAAAAAAAAGGAAATACTGGAGGAAGAAAATGGTCCAAAAAAGTATTAGTAAGAAAGAAGAGCCACAAAGCTCATTTAAGTGCCAACATGACTATACAAAAATGCAGTAAAATGCTACGAATTTGTGACATTTGTGAAGCGGAATCTGTCACCTCCGTTCTCCCCAGTTTCCAGGCTGCCCACCAACAACCAGAACTCAGGCTTCTCAACTTCAGTTATCTATTGGAAAAAATACACCCAAGAACACTCTTCCAACTGGGATCTTAATTTAAATGTTCCCACACCTTTCTTTGGTTTAATAACACCTTTCTTTGGTTTGATAACAGCCCCAGAACCTCTGGGGCTGTTATCGGTCATTTCTTATCATTATACAAGATCAATTCGCTATGAGTAAATAAATATTCTGTGGAACTTCTAGGCTAACGGTCACTAGGCTAAATGTTGAAAATTTCTGGCTCTACAGCAAACCGAAATAGGTAAGTTTTCAGAGGCTCGAGTGAGTTTTGAGCTTAGTGCAGGCCCAACTTTTCAAGCTCCAGAAACATCACCCTGTATGTTGCAACTTAAATCTCCGTCCCCACATAAACACCGGAATGATCTGAAACACTCTTACACTTTTCCCTCCCATTTTCCCAATGCTCGAAGGAAAAAGGAGACCCAAGATACACCTGCAGCTAATCACTCCCAAGCACCACAAAGGCGCAACAGTTTTTAGGTCCCACTGCACAGGCCACAGGTGGCGCCAGCCCACCGCCCTCCACCCACCTCGACACACACACCCGGCCTTTCGCCTGAGCTTTCCCCACATACTCCGGATTTCTCAAGCCTCCCAGCCGTCCTCACCGGAGGATCCAGCCATTACCCACCACCCCCGGCCCAGGAAGCTCCAGCGGGGAACCCAGGCCCAGGACCTCCGCCCTCCAGTTCGAGGGGCCGACACGCCCCCTCCCCACAGGCCGCCCACGCCATCTGCCCTTGGCCGGGAGGTGGCCTCACCTCACGCGGGCCGTGGGGGGGAGGGCGCCCCCGTCTCCGCCCGCCGCCTGGGCCCACGGCCCCTGGGCTGCGGCTCGGCCCCGACGGCCAGCGGTGGCGCGCTTCTGGGGGCGGGCTCTTCTCCGTGGGGGTTTACCCAGGGCCCAGGGCAGGGGAGCAGGGGGGACTGGGGAGGGGAAAGGGGCTCGGGAAGGAGGGGGAGAGGGGAGAAAAGGGGGGAACCAAACCCGGAAAGGGAGAAAAGGGGGGAGGGGGGAAATCAGAAGGGGAAGAAAGGCCCAGAGTCCGCCCCCCGCTGCGGCCTGCGCCCTACGTCACCACGTCTGGCGTAATCGTCACCACGTCCTGCGCCCTTCGTGCCCGTTCCTCTTCACGTCTGTAGACGCCCCCTATCTCTTCACTCACCCACCCAGCTGGTACACTCATTGACTCATTCACTCGCTTCCTTTGCATTACCTGTGTCTCAAGTTATCGATCCACATCTACTGAAATCCTTAGTCCACCTTAAACCCGTGAAGCTTGTCAGATTCACCCTAGATTTAAACGTAATACTGGTAATTAAAGTAATTTAAATTTACAGAGCACTTTCAAAACAGCCTTTGACTTAAAACAGCAACTCCTGCGCTCCAAAGGGCATGTTTGTAATAAATATGTGTAATATAAATAGGTAAAGATCATGCAATAGGTAAATGTTCATTTTTTCCAGGTGTGAAAACTTAAGTCTAAATAAAGCAGGTTGAAGTCCACCTATTAAAATCACTTCTTACCACCACCCCCTAAAATACAGTTCTTTTTCTTAAGTCATCTTAAATTTGCAAACTCCCCCATTCTGTCTCTCCTAGGGAGAATCAATCTATCTGTTATTGGTTACTGGTATTTGGATCATTTACCGACCTCAAAAAAGCATTGTAGTCTTGCAATAGAATTTGACCATTAAATATTTACTATGTACAAGAACTGCAATAGGCAAAAAATAATTATTATAGTACAGTGCAAGTGCTGTTAACAGAAGGTGTTCAATGTGCTATAGAAACACCACAAGGAGCAATTAATTCTTAGAGGTAAGGAAGACTGAGTAAGCTACAGGTGAAATTTCAGCTATCCTTGAAGAATATAAGTGGGAGTTCATCAGAGAGGCAGGAATGGAGATAAGTCATAGAGGTATAAAATTCTTTTTTCCTTCAAGGATCATCAAATTCCTAGTTTTTAAGTTGGAGGCAGAGGGCAGTGATGGCCCCAAAATATGTAGCATTCTACATCTATTTTTCAATTTAATCCTCAAAACAATAGGTACTATTGTTATACCCAGTGTAGAGGTATATAAACTAAGGAAACCTGAGGCACCAAAATCCCAGATTTTAAATTGAGAGAGTTTATCTTCAGAGCCTGCTCTTCAATCACTACATTATTAGAAATATGTAACTCACTATTATTAACAACCAAACCTAAAACAAAAACAAACTAAGCAAACAAGTAGAACAGGAACAGAATCACAGAAATGGAGATCACACGAAGGGTTATCAATGGGGGAGTGGGTGGAGAGAGAGGGGGAAAAGTTGCAGAGAGTAAGTAGCACAACTGGTAGGTAGAAGATAGACAGGGAGAAGTTAAGAATAGTATAGGAAATGTAGAAGTCAAAGAACTTATATGTACAATCCATGGACATGAACTAAAGGGGGGGAGAATGCAGGTGGGAGGGGGTATGCAGGGCAGAGGAGAATAAAGGGGGGAAATGGCCAACTGTGATAGCATAATCAATAAAATATATATATTTTAAAAAGAGCCCTGGATGGTGTAGCTCAGTGGATTGAGCGTGGGCCTATGAACCAAGAGATCAAGGTTTGATTCCCAGTCAGGGCACATGCCTGGGTTGCAGGCCAGTTCCCAGCTGGGGACTGGCCTGCAGGGAACTGGCCTGCAACCCCGGTATGTGCCCTGACTGGGAATCGAACCTCGAATTGTCTGGTTTGCAGGCCTGAGCTCAATCCACTGAGCTACACCAGCCAGGGCCTAATAAATAAAATCTTAAAAAAAAAGAAAAATGCAACTCTCAAACTCTCAGTTACCTGCATGACAGTGACCTAAAGTGCCTATCAATGACCCCGTCTTGTTTGAAAGTCATTCTTTAATATCCTATCCTGAAACCTCTGATGTCTCCCTTTCCCGACCAGACTTCCCAGCAAGGCTGTTGCTCTAAAGAGGAATTTCATCTCTAACCTTTGTCCCCAGGCATGTCAGCTCACATGGGCACCCCAGCATCTCCCAGCATTGGCCCAGGAACACTTCTTTCCCCAAATAAACCAACAACCTCCGCTAACATCCCCCACTCTGTGCTTTCAGTGATTACACGTTAGTGGCTTCTGCCAAGTTCTACCTGTAACTGGCTTCCTCTCTCAAGTCAGATGTTTGGCTGCTCCATCCCCTGCAACAAGAGTCATGCCAGCTGGACACACTCTCCTTCCTGGGCCTCTGGTGGCCAGCACAGAGCCCCAAACACAGCTGTTGAGACCCTGAGCCTGGGGGTTTGTGGCTGTGTTTCAACTGTGTCACTCAAGGCTGGCCTACCCCAAAAATGATCTCCTCATTGCTCCTGGCCTTCCTATTCCTGGCTGTGGTCACAGTGGCCACTCCCAGAGCTGACAGTCAATGTCTGGCATGTGGGAAGCATGCCTTGGACCTGGAGAGCCAGCGGAAGCTGCTTCTTCACCTGGCCAAAAGAAGCATCTTGGACAAGCTGCACCTCAGCCAGAGCCCAACACTGAGCCGGCCAGTGTCCAGAGCTGCTCTGAGGACAGTGCTGCAGCACCTTCATGGGCCCCAACAGCGGGTGCTTCCGGAGGCTGACCCAGGACAGGAATATGAGATCATCAGCTTTGCTGAGACAGGTAGGTTCCTGATCTGCAGATCTTCCTCAAAACCTCACCTATCAGGGAAAGGAACAGTGTCTTCCCCAACCTCACCTCTGATTCTCTCCCCCAAACCATCCAATTCTTTCCTCCCAGCACCTGTAATCTCCTAATCCAGGGCTCCCACCCCCTGCCCCATTTCTCTCTTATAGTTAAGCCATGACTAATGGGCAGCTGGCAAGTGGGTAAATTTCACTTCTTTTGAGATACTCTGCACCCATCACCTTTAGCTCATCTCTCTAAAGGCCTCACAAACTTCCCCAGGCTGTGGTGTGCCCATCCACTATGCTGGCCTGGACCCAGAAACTATAAGCTTGGGATTCTGTCTCTCCTCTGGCTCAGGATCCAGCCTCTCCATCCTCTCCATCTCCCCTCCTCCAGATCCCTCATTTGGGTAAAAGGGCAAAAGGAAAAATACCAGGACTATAATACCTGTCCAATCCACCCCTGCCCTCTTGCCTTGATACCTGTTACCCACATCTGAACAGGATCAAAATGGGACATAGAAAGGTAGATAGAAGATAGAAGAGGAGAGAGTTACTTCCATAGAGGGGAGAGAAGTTGGAGAATTTAGTGAGCAGATGGAGGGAAAAATCAAGAATTTGGTGACAGTACCTTAAAAACAGAACACAGAGTGTTCTGACCTCTGAGCTTTCTGCAAGTGCTTTCTTAGGTTTGAAATGCCCTTCCCATTCCTGGCCCATTTTCCATGGTCAGCACTTCAAGGCCCAGCACCCCTATCCTCAAAAAAACCCACCCTGACCTCAGGGTGAGGTGCTCCCTCCTTGGTGGCCCCCCACACTCTTACATTGAACCTGAACTCTCTGTGTAAATTTGCCTGCTTCCAGGTTTTCTATAAAGCCTGTCTTCCAATAGGATATCAACCCCTTGAGGTCAGGAAATGTCATTTATTCCTCATGTTATCACCAGAGATTAGTGCATAGTAGAAATAACTTAGATAATGTTTACTGTACTGTGTTTAAGCCTTTTACATGTACTAACTCCATGAGATCCATCCTCCCAACAGCTCGGTGAGGCAAGTACTATTGTTATCCCCATTTTAGAGGGGATGAAACTGAGGCAAAAAGGTTGAGTAACTTGCCCAAGGTCACATGACTGGTAAGCAGTGCAGTCAGCCATGGCTCTGGAATCCATGGCCTTGAGCACAGCACCACTCTGCCTCTCCCAAACATAGTAGGTACGCAACAAACATTGGTTGCGTTAAACAACCAAATCACACTGTGGGTCAGTTTGACCACAGTTTAGAGTCCCCAGTGATGGATAAGAACTTATTCTAGTTCAAAATGTGTTTCTGCTCATGGTTAAGAATACAACTCTAGAGCCAGATAGCCCGGGCTCAGATTCTTGCTCAGACACTTAACTACTGCATTACTTGGGTCGTTAATAGTTTTCTCCCGTGTAAAATGGGGATCATTAGAGGACAGCTGAGATAATTCAGTGAGCTAATACAGGTAATATACTTAGAAAGCTAAGATGGGAGGAAACAGGAAATAGAAGACTCAATTCCTGACCATGAGGGGTTTTGCTGCTGCTGCTGCTAAAAATAAATGAATTTAGAATATAAGGCAGAATGAAATAAATGTTACATGGGGTCACAAGAGCTTGCTGGACCAGAAGTGACTCACTGGGACCTGGTTAGACAAGGAAGCCTTTCAGAAATATATTGCAAATGGGGTGCCATTGTAGAGTAAGTTTGACTTCAATGGGTAGAGAATGGTAAATGACATCTTAAATGGAAGGGAAACACATGGTTAAAAGTCTGAAGGAGTAGACTGTGTTTGGAGTTGAAAAGTAGTTTGGAGTGTCTTAGCATTGGTGGACTGATGTCCATGAGTCCCCTGAACACTGAAATCCTGGCTGGTTTGGGTTTTTTTCCCCCACCTTTGAATCCCTGACACTTAACCTAGTTCCAGGCACATTGTGACAATAATAATGGTTACCAGGTATTAAGTGTACCTGACTCATCTCATGTAATTCTCACAACCATCCTATAAAGTAGACTTTAGTATTCCCAACCTATGAATGCAAAAAACTGAGATTCGAAAAAGATCATTTACATGGCCAAGGTCATACAGCTTGCAAGGGGCAGAATTCAAACAATTCTCTCTGACTTCAAAGTCTGTATAGTTTCCACATATTTGCTAATCAATGAATGACTACAATGTTCAGGCCAGAGAGGGCCTGATGAGATAAGGTTTGAACGTGAGAATGACTGATGCCTGCATTTTGCCTTTCACATTTAAGTATTTTAGCTTGAAGTTTTCATTCCAGTTTAAGTTATCTACACCATAACGTGAAAGAAAGACCTGAAAATTGTTCTTGCTGGGGTATGAAGACAGAGAGTTTGGGGCTCCGGGGAAACTAGGAGAGGGGCCTTAAGTGGTCATCCTAGAACTGGCTCATACTGGCTCATGAGGGCTGATTGTAAATAGGTCCCAACTCTGCATCTAGTGACATCATATTGATAGTTTGAAATCAGTCATGGTGAAAGAATTTGTACCACAGAAATTGGCAGATACCATAAATCAGGGGCATTTTTTCCCTTCTAGAATCTAGTTGTTAAATATTTACCAGCATACCACTCATTGCCTGTGACCTACAAATCCGAGTTAACTGCCTCCCACACACCCAATATACAATGCTGAGACAGGGCCAGGATAACTGTAATGGGTACTCCTGTTCAAAATGGGAGATGGGGAAGTGGGAGGCACAGAGCAGTCACCACTGATCCATGAAAATTCTGATCTAGCCAGGTGCATATCTCAGTCTATCCCAAATCCAGAATTCCCTTGGTCAGGGCCTGCTTCTGCTCCCTGGTAAGTGTTTCCTCTCCTCTCCAGAACAGTCCACCACTGCTCTCCTGGACTTCTAGAGCCACTCTCTCAGCCCTTGGCTCCACTCTCTGCAATGTCTTCTCTTTTACATAAGCAATGACCTGTGTTTGTGGCTGAGTAGTTTTCTCAGCCTTTTTCCTGTCCAAAGAAGTCAGGGGCCCAGAGTTTCTTTTCATTCTGAATTGTCTCTGTCCCTTTAGTCCAAACTGTACTGCCTTCACTATAAAAACTCTCTGGACCTTCTTATATAAATTATAGTCTACTCATTTAGACAAAAGGCACTTCACTCTGTCAAGACAGACCTCTTCTTAGGTTACAAATCAGGGTGTTGTGGGACACAACTCTTAAGATTCTTAGAAGCCCTTTTGTCTAGTTCAGTGGGTCTATAGAACATCATCTCGGGTTTTAGATCTTAAGAAAGATGTTAGATCTTAGTAAAGGGTCTTATGGCTGACCCTTTATTTGTTTTGATCTTCACATCAAGACCATGTTTTAGTGGCAGTGCCCTGGATTTGATTTTTGCCCCTAGACCATTTCTTATTTGAAGAACCTTTTGCCAGACAGACAAGGAATGAAAAAATATTTTATTGTTCAATCTAGCAAGTCTTGTTTGAAATATTGCATCCAAAATTCTGCAGAAAAATTAAACAGTTCTTATAATAAGACAGCTAAAATAAGCCAAATGACACTTTCTGCATTCTGCCTGGAAATATCTTCAGCTAAATTCACAACTTTGTTAGATATCATTTCTAGCTTCCAAGTTACCACAGCCGATAGCCAGTACATAACACAGTTCCCCCTTCTCTGGCTTCCAAAAGCAATTTCCTGGGTGCTCTTCTTGCCTTTACTAACAATCTCTTCACCATCCTTACAACCTCTGCCTGCCACCCACTTGCAAAGCCAATGCTACATATTTTAGGTCTTTATTATGGAACACCTTACTTCTAATATTAGTTTCTGTTTTAGTTATCCATTAATATTATAAACTAGCCCAAATATAGAGGCTTAAAAGAAAAAGCTCCATATTTCTCATGATTTTTTGGTTTGACTGGGATTATCTGGGCAGTTCTGCTCCATGTGGTCTAGCTAAGGTTCCTCATGTATCTGCATTCAGCCAGGAGCTCAGATGGGGCTAGAACATCCAAGATGGTCTTTGACCCTCCAAAGTCTCTCTCCATACAGCTTCTCATCACTCAGTATAGCTTCCAAGTTTCTCTGAAGCATGGTTGTTGACTTCCAAAACAATGAAGTCTCAGTGTGTAAGTACTTATCAAGCTTTGGCTTGCACTGTGCTTGCCTGTGTCTCACTGACCAAATCAAGTTACATGGCCAAGCCCAGAGTTAGTATGGGAAGAAATTGCACAAAGCCATGAATATAGGGGGCTGCTGTTCATTGGGAGGCAACAATGTAATAGTCTACCACAACCCCTGTGGATCATGTGTCTGCTTGCCATGACTAGGGTGACTTAAGAGGTCCTAACAGTAAGGTGTTTAGTGACCTAGCAAGAAAAGATTAGTTGGGCCAATCAGACCCTTCTAGGATTTTGGAATTGAAACAATGGAAGATCAGCTCACTTCACTAGGAGGAGGTGAGTAAAAGGTTATGTAGACTCAGGACCTGGGGCCACCATTTTGCGAGCTTAGGAAGCTGACGGAGAGGCAGAAGTATATTGACGGAGAGAAAAGAATGAAGTAAACTCAGACTTCCGCCAAGATAGAAGCATAGGTGGAGACACCGTGCTTTCTCACACAACCAAGTTTAGAGACAACAAAATATTAGCAACAGAAAACACAGCCAGTTTGCAACAACATGGATGTAACTGGAAAGCATTATGCTGAGTGAAATAGGCCAGGCATTAAAGGACAAATACCATATGATCTCACCTTTGACAGGAAGCTAAACAATAAAACAAACAAGCAAACAGAATAAAAACAAAGACACTGAAATAGAGAACAAGTGGGCAGTGACCAGAGGGGAGAGGGAAGGGAATTTAAGGGGAAAAATGGGGAGGGATTTTGAGGAACAAGTATGAAAGACACAGGGATGAGTACTGGGGAAGGGGGGGGGGCCGGAATGGGAGGGAGGTGGGGAGACAGGGCGGGGGGGTTGGGATGGGAGAAATAGACAAAAAATGTACTTGAAAAATAATTAAATAAAAATTAAAAAAAAAAAAAAAACACAGCCAGAACACAGAAAATTGAACTTTTCGGAAGTCCAATAACAACGAATTCTTCAGCCTGACTGGTAAGAGGGGCGAAACCAGCAGCTGGTGGAGCGGGGTTGCACAGGAAAACTTGGTCAGCTGGACTCAGGTGCGTGGATCTCAGGCATGGGGTTGCAAAGGGCCGACCCAGTGAGCGACCCGTAGATCCAGCGAGGGAGCGGGCAGTGAGACAGGACCAAGCGGGTCCCAGCGACGGGAGGCAGCAGAGACAGCCGCCATTTCCCGGCTCTGACCCCACCCCCACATAGAGCATCACAACCCAGCGACCTGAGCAACCCTACCCTGGTGAACACCTAAGGCTTTGCTCCTCACCCAGCGGCGGGAAGCAGGAGAGGGGGATGCCGTTTCCCCACTCTGACCCCGCCACCACATACAGCGTCACAACCCAGCAACCCCACCCTGGAGGCCCCACCCCGCCCCGAAGGTTCTGCTCCTCATACTTAATGGGCACCAACAGACCAAAAATGGCTCAAGAGGATCTCAAAGCCCCAGAGTCCATAAACCTAAGTGACGAAGAAATAGCCAAACTTTCAGATGCACAGTTCAAAACACTGGTCATCAGGATGCTCACAGAACTGGTTGATTTTAGTCACAAATTAGAGAACATATGAAGGCTAAACTAATTGAAATGAATGGCAATGAACAGGAAACCAATAGTAATGGAAAGGAAACTGGGAATCAAATCAAAGGAGTGGACCAGAAGGAGGATAAAAATGACCAACCAGTAAAGAATGAAGAAACAAGAATTCAAAAAAAACGAGGAGAGACTTAGGAATCTCCAGGACATCTTTAAACGCTCCAACATCCGAATTATAGGGGTACCAGAAGGGGGAAAGGAACAGCCATCAGTAGAAAACTTATTTGAACAAATAATAAAGGAGAATTTCCCCAATCTGGCAAAGGAAATAGACTTCCAGGAAATCCAGGAAGCTCAGAGAGTCCCAAAGAAGTTGGAACCAAGAAGAAACACACCAAGGCACATCATAATTACATTAGCCAAGATTAAGATGAAGAAGAGAATCCTAGAAGCAGCAAGAGCTAAGGGGACAGTCACCTACAAAGGAGTTCCCATCAGACTGTCAGCTGATTTCTCAAAAGAGACCTTACAGGCAAGAAGGGGCTGGAAAGAGGTATTCCAAAACATAAAATCCAAAGACCTACAACCAAGATTGATCTATCCAGCAAAACTTTCATTTAGAGTGGTAGAGCAGATAAAGTGCTTCTCAGATAAGGTTAAATTCAAGGAGTTCATCATCACCAAGCCCTTATTATATGAAATGTTAAAGGGACTTATCTGAGAAAAAGAAGATAAAAAAGATGAACAGTGAAAGGACAGCAAACTCACAGTTATTAACAACCACATCTAAAACAAAAGCAAACGAAGAGGACAGCTAGATCAGGAGCAGAACCATAGAAATAAAGATCTCATGGAGGGTTAGCAACAGGGGAGTGGGAGGAGAAGGGGGGAAAAGGTACAGAAAATAAGTAGCATAGATGGTAAGTAGAAAATAGATGGGGGGAGGGCAAGAATAGTATGGGAAATATGGAATCCAAAGAACTTGAGACACATGGTCATAAACTAAAGGGGGGCAATAGTAGGGAGGGTGCAAGGTGGAGGGGAATGAAGGTGGGGAGTAGAACAACTGTAATGGCATAATCAATAAAATAAAATTTTTTTAAAAAGAATGAAGTAAACTTACACAGAGACTAAGATGAGAGATATGTGTTGGCTCTGAGAGCTGTCAAGAGCAGCTTTATTCTTGACTTTCCAATTCATGTGTAGCTTAGTTGAACTTTATTTTCTGCCCTTTTATATCCATGAAAGTTTCTCTGGCATTTCCACAATAAAGCACTCTTTACTTGATAAAGAAAAAAAAATACTAGCTAAGACCAAATCATAATGGGAATAAAACTGCTTCCCAAAAGAGTTTGGACTTTATTCATCAATAAGGTTTTTGAGATGATGAATTTCATAATCTAGCCAAGTTTTTGGAAAATAACTCTGGTGTCAATGTAAAATAAGAATTAAAGAAATGAAAGACCATTCGTTCAAAAAAATTTATTGAGCGTAGACTAGGTGTTTAGTACTAAGTGAACCAGGCAATGGTGAACCATACAAGCACAATCTCTACCTTCATGGAATTTATATTCTAGCTGGTTTGGGGTGGGGGAGGAGAGGAGGGAAGGAGAGGCACATAGTAAGCAAATAAAAAACCAAGATTTTTATAGAGAGTGGTAGTGGCTACAAATATAAGCAAGATCATGTTTTAGAGAGATGCAGATAGAATCGAAGGCTGCCTCAGATGGGCTAGTCAGGGAAGCCTCCCTGAAAAGGAGACATTTGAGCTGAATGCCAAAAGGGAGCCAGTCATTAAAAAGTCTTGGAAAGACATTCCAGTCAGGGGAAATAGCAAGTTCAAAGGCCATGAAGTGGATCCATGTTTGGTGAGTTCAAGGAACAGAAAAAAGCTATAGACTGAATATAGTAAAAAAATGTCACAATGTCTAATCACATAAGTTTTCTATGTTAAGGGATTTTGATTGTATTCAAATAGTACATGAGAAGACTTTGAAAGATTTTGAGCTGAGGTTAAGCTGACCACACTTATGTAATAAAAAGATCATTCTGGCTGATATGTGGAGAATGGTTTGGAGGGCAAGAGTAAACCACTTAGGAAGCTGTTAACATAGTTCAAGAAAAAGATGATTGTGGGTTGAACTAATGCAGTGATTTTCGACTGATGTGCTGCAAGAATTTTTAAAACATGCAACATCTGACTATTTAGTCAAGGGCACTGACCTTTTTCCCTTAGATTGTCAAATTTAAAAAATGACAACAGCCAACACAACAGCAGTCATCCAGTGTCCATGAATCCAAATTAGACCTATTTTTTTGTCAGATCAGCAAAAAAATATCTTTTTTGGTGTGCTGCAGAATGCTAGTAATTAGTTTATGTGTCCCAGAAGATGAAAAAAGGTTGAAAATCACTGAACTAAAGTATAGTAAAGGAGATGGGATAAGTGAAATTATATTATAAGTTGGAGGTAGCAATGAGAGATCTTGCAGCTAATTTCCAAGTAGGGGATGATGGCAATCAAGGTTTTGGCTTAAGCAGTACATTTTTAGGGAAGGGGAAGATTGAAGAAGGACAAGGTTTGGGAAGGTAAAACTAGAGTTCCTCTTTGAACATGAAAAATTTTAGATATCATTGGATAACCAAGTGGATTATCAAATCAGTAGCTGGATATAAAAGCCTGAGGCTTGGGGAGGGATCTGGACCAGGGATATGTAGATGAAACTGAAAGCCATGGGAACTGATGAGACCATTTTGAGATAGGGTGCAGATATAGAAGAGAAGGAGAAGGGAGGTTAGGACCTCCAACACATAGAGGTTAGGCAGAGAAAGAGGAGCTGTCAGCAAAAGAAACGTAGATGGAGTGACCAGTGTCACAAAAGCCAGGATGAAAAAAAAACATGTCAAGAAGGAGACAATAGTTAAGTGTGTCGAACATTGCTTATAGGTTAAGTAAGATGAGTGTAAAGAGATGAAACCACTGGACTCGGCAACATGGTAGGTGTTGGTGAACCTGACTAGAGTAATTTCAGTGGAGTGGAGAGAATATAAACCCAACTAAAGGGTTTCAACAGGGCACATGAGGGATGCAGAGGGGAAACAGGGCAATAGTAAATCATAAGGGTAGGGAGAAATGCGTAGACATTAGAACCATTGTGGTGAGGGACTGGACATGGTGAGAGAGGTGACCACAGGGCTTCTAGAGATGTCAAGGAAGGCAGTGATGCCACCAATTCTAGAAACAAAAAGAGAATTCTATAAGAAAGAAAATAAGGATTTCCATTTTGGAAAAACTGAATTTAATGTTTGGGCAGGACATTCATGTGTCCTGAAGCTTGGTGACTCCCAAATCTTTATGTCCAGTCCAGAGGTGCAAAATGGTCTGGACTGGACATGCCGATTTGGGAATCACCAGAATAAAAATTGTTTTAACCAACCATGTGTGTGGGTAAGAGCTCCACTCAGTGTAAAAGGCAAATTCTGGAGAAGTCTTGCATTAAAATGATGGTCAGAAAAAGAAAAGCCAACAAAGAAAATCAAGGAAGAATCATGAGAGAATTGTGTAATAGATGCCAAGAGAGAAAAGATTTCAAGAAGGAAAGAGTGGTTAACAATGCTAACAATGTGGTCAGGAATGAACGGGCTGAGCATAGAGAGGTAGCTGATCAAATTGACACTCTGAAGGCCACAATGACCAAGACTTCTTGTGTCCACAGGCCTCTCCAACATCAACCATACTCGCCTTGATTTCCACTTCTTCTCTGATAGAACTGCTGGTGGTATGGAGATCCTGCAGGCTACCCTCATGTTCTTTGTGCAGCTCCCACCCAATACCACCTGGACTTTGAAGGTGAGGGTCTTTGTGCTAGTCCCACATGATGCCAACCTCACCTTGGCCACTCAGCATCTGCTGGAGGTAGATGCCAGTGGCTGGCACCAGCTCCTTCTGGGACCTGAAGCTCAGGCCGCCTGCAGCCAAGGACACCTGACCCTGGAACTTGTACCTGAAGGCCAGGTAGCCCAGAGCTCAGTCATCTTGGGTGGGGCTGCCCATAGACCTTTTGTGACAGCCAAGGTGAAAGTTGGGGGCAAGCACCGGGTTCGACGGCATGGAATCGATTGCCAGGGTGGGTCCAGGATGTGCTGTCGACAAGAGTTCTTTGTGGACTTCCGTGAGATTGGCTGGCACGACTGGATCATTCAGCCCGAGGGCTACGCAATGAACTTCTGCACAGGGCAGTGCCCAGTGCATGTGGCAGGCATGCCTGGCATTGCTGCCTCCTTTCACACAGCAGTGCTCAATCTTCTCAAGACCAACACAGCTATAGGCACCACTGGAGGGGGCTCATGCTGTGTGCCCACAGCCCGGCGCCCTCTGTCTCTGCTCTACTATGATAGGGACAGCAACATCGTCAAGACTGATATACCTGACATGGTGGTAGAGGCCTGTGGGTGCAGTTAGTTTGTGTGTGATATGGGCAGCCCAAGGTGGGGTAGACAAATATGCCCCACAGAGGTGCCCTTCCTTGAGAGGAGGGACAGGTTCCATTACTGCCTCTGTCCAGAAGGTGCACTACCTCTTCTTGTGTTGGGAAATTATCCCAACTGTACCATCTTCGCAACCACCAGCTCCTCTCCTAGAGCACCAGCAAGCCCCCCCCCCCCCGTGCTCAACCATCATCCCAGAGACTCTGATTGACCTCCAACCGTGAGCAACACAATCTGGTTCCCAGGCAGACTTCTGTAGCCCACTCTTAATCCAAGCCAAAATGCACTGTGCCTCCCTGCCCTTTCCACTCAATGGCCTCCACTCAGGATCAGTTGACCCAGCCTCTTCTCTTGATTTTTTAGACTTTCAGAGAGACCCCCATCCTTGGTTTCACTAAAGATTAGATCAGCCCTGGCTGGTGTAGCTCAGTGGATTGAGCATGGGCCTGTGAAGCAAAGGGTTGCCAGTTCGATTCCCAGTCAGGGCACATGCCTGGGTTGCAGGCCAGGTCCCCAGTAGGGGCATGCGAGGCAACCACACATTGATGTTTCTCTCCCTCTCTTTCTCCTTCCCTTCCCCTCTCTCTAAAAATAAATAAATAAGATTAGATTAGATTACTGCCCTCTAAAATGAGGCTCATTCCTCTCTGTGTCTTGAGCCCCTTTCCTTCTTGCTTGCCCAGTTGTACTGCTAAGGCTCTCTTGGCACACCCACATCCGTTCTTTGTCCTTCTCTTCCCTGTTCTATGCCCTTGCAGGCTAACTCACTTGAGTTCCTTTGGCCCCTGCTTCCTGCTGAGTTTGACTAAGGGGAAACACAGGCAAGAATTCAGGGTCTTTGTTATTCCTGCTCCCTCAGCCTAAGTGCCAGGGTTCTGTGTGACTGTGGTGTGACCACATCCCTATAGCTCTGGCTCCCTTCTTCCATGGTTCTAGCTCTGTTCGAATTCTGATGTCACTGCTTCCACACTAGAGGCTTATAATGGCTTTCCACTCTTACCAGTCCCTAGATATTTCAGCATCCCTCACTGGGTCCCTTCAACCTGCTCATACCTCTGTAAAGAAGTCCTTCATTAAGTCTTCTCAGTGGGGCCAATGCAGATAGCTGAGTGGGTCTTCTGTGCCCTGCCAGGACCCTGACTGACATGCCAGAGGACCCACAGCCTGCCCCTCCTGCCCACTTCTGCTCTCTCCTCACACAGGTTCCCTGGGGCTGAGCTGTTGTGTCTAACCCATACTTCATGCTGCTCCCTTCCCCAGGCTGTCTGCCCTTCTTTATTAGGCCCCCTCCACCCTCTCAGAATCATCTTTGCTGGTCTCAAGGCTAATAAAGACCTGAGTTTTACCTACTCCTCTCCTTGTCCTGTACTCGCTCCAAGACATAAGACAGATCACTGCTCAATGGGCAAGTAGGCTGACGACCTGTGGGCATACACATAATGGGAGGCAGAGAATAGCTCAGAGATGGCTGTCTTCCTTCCACCAGTCCCCAGGGCTCCATCCAGGAGTCCTGCTTAGAAGTTGGAGCTGGCTGAGGGCTACCAGAGTCGGGCAGGGGACAAAAAAGGAAAGCCTGGGGTGGAAAGAGGGAGGCATTTGCTCTGACTGGGTTCTTCTTAAACCAGTGATTTTCAAGCTGTGTGCCACAAGAATTTTTAAAGCATGCAGGAATGATGATCTCTTTTCCCTTAGACTGTCAAATAAAAAAATGACCACAGCCCACTTACAATAACCATCCGGTGTGTATGCCCTGTACTGGGCCATAAGTACATAGGTCATATAATGGAGTTGCATCTTCTGGGTCATGTCGCATAATAAGGTTGTGTCTTGGTAGCAGAAATCCCTCTGTACGAGTATAGACACCTGATCTTTAAAAAATCATATTGGAGCAAAAAGGTAATTACTCCTATTTTTCAATCAACCAAAATTATACCTATTTTTGTCAGATTGGCAAAAATATGATTCTTGGCATGCAGCAGAATTTTAGTGATGAGTTTATGTGTGCCATGAGATGAACAAAGTTGAAAATCGCTGCTCTAGACCTTTGCCCTCTTCCCCCACCATCTCCTCACTTTAGTTGGACAGCGCTGAACCATGGGGTCAATATTGTCTGTAGCCCAAGGCCGAGTGTTTGCAAAACCCATGTGTCCTTTGGATTACGTGATGTCTGTGTTTGCTCAGTTTATAACCCCCTTCTGCCAGGGTCCGAGGGCCCTGGAACAGGAGCCCTAGGGGAGGAAGTCCGAAAGGGACGCCCTGGGCGACTGCAGGTCTGAGCTGCTGAGCCTCCCGGACAAACTCCATGGAAGTCATCCCGCCTCTGACCTGAGATCTTTTTCTAAGGAGAGACTCTAAGGAAATCCGGTACCTCTCCCCTCACCCCACATCCCTCCCAGATATAAGTTCCCTCCCTCCCACTACAACATCAGTGACCAGGGCCAAGACTCAGGGGAGGTGATGTGAGGCACTTGCCTTAGGGGCAAAACTTTGAGGGGATGACAGAAATATTCATCAATCAGGATAAATAATATCTTAATTCAGTATTTTTAAAACATCAAAATCAATGCAAAACATTCATGGTGAAAAAAATGTCAAATTTTTAAAGGAACACAGGATTAGTATTATTCCTCTTCTTCAGCTCTGCCTTTTATAACAAGAGAAAAGAGTGAGTCTGTCTGCTTTCAAACCTTTTCTTCCAGAGTTCCCTGACCCCTAACTCTACACTGCCAAGCTTTTCTCATTTGGGCAAGATAATCACTCAGGATTCTTCTACTTCCTTACCCACCCCTAAGCCTCGTCACTACCCCCCAGTCCCAATCGGGTTAGTGGTAGGGCGAGCCTGTGAGGCAGATGGCTGGGGTATTTATAACCCAGGAGCACTTCTTGGGAAAAGTGACTAAGATACAGAGAGCATATTTATAGCTAGGTTCTGACGTAAGTGTCAGTGGGGAGGTAGGGCCAGGCCGGGCACAGCAGCATGAGGGTAGGAAGAGCTGGAAATTGGGGGCACCTGACAGAGAGGGTAGGCGAGAGGTGGGGTCAGTGACTCCTGCAGCCACTTCTTGCTGCTTCTCTTGGCTCTGTCTCCTGGTACCAACAGGTAAGCCCTCTGAAACACCACCGTGAGCAGAAACCTCTGCTTTGGAGTTTACAGTCCAGACCCCCGGGCTTGGAGGGCTGTCACCAGCCCAACCAACAGAGAGGGAAGCTGAGAGCTGGGGAGAGCACTGGACAGAGGAGCTTGAGTGTTTCAGGACATGGGCAGAAATGCAGGGTGGACGGGAGGGGCTATAAAGTCTCACTGTCCCTTCTCCCTGCTCCTCCCTACATGGTGCCCTGAGTTTCTAGGAAGAGCCTCGCCCCCATCACCAAGCTCCATTGCCACCTGTCAGTGCGATGAGGTCCAAAGCCAAAGGTAGCAGTGAAGTGGGTCCCGACGACAGCCTCTGCTGTCTGGCAGTGGCAAGATGAGAGAGCTGAAGGACCAGCTTCTCTCCTGTTAAAGAGTCAGAGTCCCCAGAGTGAGAGGACTGGGAAGCGCTGCCTCTCTCCACTCACTAGGCAGCCCCTTCTCTGGGAAACTGGTCAACTCTAAGCCAGCTGCTGTCCAGTAGCTCAGCACTGCCACATGGTGGACATTGACGGTACTGAGACCCAGCCTTCAAAGCACCACCTGTCTTCCCCTGGTGCCAGATCTAGCAGTTTCTTTTGTCAGCCCCCACTGGCTAAATAAATAGTGGAGAGATGAATAAAATGGAGTGGGGGCACATTTTCAAATCACTCTCACCTCCTCCCTTCTTCTTGAAGAAACTGGGGCATAAGGAGAAAGGCCAGCATGAGGCCTTCCCTTTGAGTTAAAGGTGACGGGGGCCTTGGCCCTCCCACTTCAGAGCAGCGAGGAAGTGTGGTAAGTAGGGCTGGGACTGCAACTAAGGTGGCTGCGCTCTTTCTGTTTTGCTCTACACTTAAAAGTCCTTACGCCACCCATTTCTCACTCCAATTCACAGAGACCTGGCACCATTTCTAGGATGCGCCACATTTAGGCAACTCTCACGGGCCCCTCAAGAGAACCAGCAGCTGGCTATGGCCCTCCCAAGTCCCATGCCCTCTGCCAGCCTCAGTGGACTCTGCCTTCCTGTAAGATTGCGTCACCCTTGCCCCCCACCTCTCTGGGCTTTCCCAGGCATCACAGTAACATGCCAATCCCATGCCCCTGCCCTCCTCCACATTGTGCTCCAGTCCAACTGGACTTTGGGCGGCCAGCACAGGCAGGGTCAAGGGGTGACTTCTGTGTCTCGTGGCACTGCCACCTTGGCCTGGGCAAAAGGACTCCGTTCCCCCTACCCCTTCTCCCCAACCTCTCACCCTTGCCCCAGGCTCATAGCTAGAAACAGAGGCCCGAGTTCTCCTTCTTGCCCAGAGACCCCAGAGAAATAACCACTGGAACTCACAAGTGCATTGTGGAAACTGCTGTAGCTGTGGCCACAGAATGACCTAGAAAAGCTGAAGGAATGACAGGGAAACTGCCCCTCCCCACCTTGCTATATGGAGTTCCCTCCCCCAAGTCCCAGACCTTGAGGACTGACCATGTGAAATCATCCTCTTTCTTGCATCATGCATGTCCACATTGCCCCCCAACCCCCATACCCCTACCTTAATCTCAGTGACCATGGCCAGATGGTGAAACCTGAGCTCCAGGGGCGGGGCTGGGGGGGACATCTACCCCCTGCAGGGGCTTGATAGGCAGCAGAGCTGGCCAATCTGGGGCTCAGAGGGTAAGTCTGCCGGCTGACCAGGAGATGAGGGAGCCCCAGGCTTCAGGCTCTAAAGAGGCTCCAGTCAGTAACTAGACTTGAGCGGTGAGGGTCAAACTGGCAGACTGTGCTAAACTCAACTACCCATCGGACCGTCCACTTTCCCCTGGGCAATAGAAGACAGGTGGCTTGACCCTGGGCTAAGGGTAGGTGTGGCACTAGTGTCTGCTGCTGCTTTGCCCTCATCCGCCTCTCCACAAAAGCAGACTCAATATAAGAAGAAGCAACTGCCCACCGAGGCTCCGGTCCTGACCTGGGGCCATTCACCAGGATCATGAGGGTCCCTGGTGTTCATCTCCAGCTGGTGCTACTGTGGGGGGTGGTGCTTCGGGCACTAATGGCACAGGGGGCAAGGTCTGTGTGTCCCTCCTGTGGGGTCCCCACACTGGCACCCCAAGCAGAACGGGCTCTGGTCCTGGAGTTAGCCAAGCAGCAAATCCTGGAGGGGCTGCAGCTGACCAGTCGTCCCAGGATAGCTAACCCACCGCCCCAGGCGGCACTGACCAGAGCTCTCCGGAGACTGCAGCAGGGGAGCGCGGCTCCCACGAGTGGGGAGGAAGTCATCGGCTTTGCCACCGCCACAGGTGGGTGAGGAGGAGACGGGCAGAAAGCGGAAGGAAAGGGAGGCAGAGAGGGAGACCGATGGGAAAGGCAGAGAGAGCCAGGTGTGGGCGGAGGAGGAGAAGTTGGGGCAGGGACGGACTGCAGAGGATGCGAGGCGGTCCCCGTGTCTTCTACAGGTGGGAGCTGGGGAGGGCAATGGGCAGGGCTTGGAGGAGCCTCAGAGGAGAGCTCCACGTCTGCTCCGTCCCTCAGTCCTTTCTCCACCTTTCTGGCAGACTCCTCCACTTCAGCCTGCAGCTCCACGCTCACCTTCCACGTGTCCACTCCTCGGTCCCACCGTCTGTACCACGCTCGCCTGTGGTTGCACGTGCTCCCCACCCTTCCGGGCACTCTGTACTTGAGGATCTTCCGATGGAGCCTAAGGAGGAGGCGCAGAGGGTCCCCCGCCTTCCTGGCTGAACACCAAATTACAACCCCCGGCTGGCATGCCCTAATTCTGCCCTCTAGTGGCTTGAGAGGTGAGGAGTCTCCTGTCCTGAGACTTCAACTGGACTGCAGACCCCTGGAAGGCAACAGCACAGCTGCCGGACTACCTCAACGGCTCCTGGACACAGAGGGAAACCAGCGGCCCTTCCTGGAGCTTAAGATTCGGCCCAGTGAGCTGGGAGCAGGGAGGGCCAGGAGGAGGACCCCCACCTGCGAGCCTGAGACACCCTTATGCTGTAGGCGAGACCATTATGTAGACTTTCAGGAACTGGGATGGCGGGACTGGATCCTGCAACCTGAGGGGTACCAGCTGAATTACTGCAGTGGGCAGTGCCCCTCCCACCTGGCTGGCAGTCCGGGCATTGCTGCTTCCTTCCATTCTGCTGTCTTCAGCCTCCTCAAGGCTAACAACCCTTGGTCCTTGGGTACCTCCTGCTGTGTCCCTACTGCCCGAAGACCTCTCTCTCTCCTCTACCTGAACCGTGATGGCAATGTGGTCAAAACAGATGTGCCGGATATGGTGGTGGAGGCCTGTGGCTGTAGCTAGCAAGAGGGCCTGAGGGTTTGAAGTAAAGAAATCAAGTTTGGGATTCCTAGGCAAAGGGCATCTGTGGCTAGAGGCATCAGATTCCTGATCTGCTGCACCCTCATCCAATGGGCCACATGGAGATATGACTAGGCTGACCCCCATGAGACCCGAATGGACACTTGATTGTCCAGACTCTGGCCTATTCCAGGCTGCCTGATGTGTGGGAAGATGGGAAACGTGTGTCCTCTGAAGGAATCTACCCAGAAAGCATGATTTCCTACCCTAAGCCCTATGAAAAAAAAATGGCAGAGGCAAGGGAGGGAGGGAGGGAGGGAGGGAAGGAGCAGGCAGAGAAAAATGACTCAGTCTCTCCCAAGAAGAGAGAGCCTCAAGTGAGAGAAGGAAGAAGCAGACTGGGGTCCAGTAGGCTTGGGGGCAGGGGAATCAGGCTGGCCGAGGGTCGGACTGTTGAAGTGCTTCAAGGGGGGGGCCGAGAAGGAGTGAGGCAAGGGGCTGAGGAAGGATGTTGGCAGAGCCCCAGAAATGGGGGTCAGGAGAGAGGAGTGCTGGGCCTGAGAAGTCCCTTGGTTTTTCCCGATGGGGGGTCAGGACCACAGGAGAGAAAAACATTTATAACGTCCCAATAAAAATGGGGAGAAATCAACAAGTGTGAGTTATGAAAAAGGGCTGGGGTGATGATGGTCCAGAACAGTGGTTCCCAAGGTATGGTCTGGGGGCCTCTGGGAATTTCTCCAGACCCTTTCAGGGGTGTCCACAGGGTCAAAATTAATTTCATAATAACGCTAGGAGGTTGTTTGTCTTTTTATTTTCACCATCTCAAAAGCGTACAGTGCAGTTTTCCAGAGGCTGTGTGACATGTGATTACATCATCTTTCTGACTTCATTGTTAATGGGATGTGTGCCTGTGTATTCTTGTGTTACAAAGTTTTTTTCGGTTTTAATTCCTAATATGGTAAATAGACATAAACCACATAAACAAAGACTCAGTAATTGCCCCGATCGGGTACTCCGTTGGTTGGAGCGTCATCCCATACACCAAAGGGCTTCAGGTTTGATCTCCAGTCAGGAGATCAAACCTAGGGTGAGGGGTCCATCCTCAGTTGGGGCACCTACAGGAGGTGACCAATCAATGTTTCTCTCTCTCTCTCTCTCTCTCTCTCTCTCAAATCAATAAAAATATATCCTCGGATGAGAATTTTTTTTAAAGCTCAATAATTTTAAAGGGTGTAAAGTGGTCTTGAAACCAAACATTTGAGAATTGCCGACCTAGAGAAAGCAGTGTGGGGAGAAAGCACTGTGCTCTAAACCAGCACTGGGGGGAAGACAGGGCACCTGGCTGGGACAGGAGCATGTGCAGGGTCCCTTCTTCTCCAGTGACCTCTGGTCTTGCTCGACCAGAGCTCTGGGTACGACTTGTGTCTGGGTCAAAGTCACGTGGGGGAGGAGGCTCAAACGGGGCTCGTTATATGTTCAGCACAGCTGCTGTCTATATGCGTCTGTTCTCAGACCTCTTCCTAGTTTCACCTTTTCTTCTACTGAACAGTTAACCTATTAACCCTCCAGACCCAAGGAGGTGGTGGTTCTTGGAAGCAGAGTTAGGATGTGGGAGGTCCGACGAAGGGGTAACAAGAAAGAAGGGACCCCTTTCCCCCACTATGCTTTCTCCTAAAGGAAGGTCAGAGGGAATAAAATAGCTGACCCTTCCCGGGTATCTGGTCACCATAGCAACACGAATCCAAAGAAACCGCACCCCCCTGTCAGACACTACCGCTCTGCACTAGCGGCCTCTGCCAGTGTGCCCCTCCGTGTCTTTGGGCTCATACAACCCGCTCCCTCCTGGACTCCTAACCGGGCTTTGGTGGGTGGCACCTGGGAAGCCTACTCCTTCAGTTTCCTCAGTTTCCTCTGCCTCGACTGCAAGGGGGTGTCATGTGCCAAAGGGGCCAGCAGAGGGAGCAGACAGCCTTGAGGAGCAGAAGGAGAGCGGGCGGCGCAGAGGTGCGGAGGTGGCCGCAGGCTCCAGAGCTTCCAGGCCAGAGAGAACACGGGTTCCTCCGGGACAGTACTTAAGTGCCAGGGTTCCTTAGTAACGAAACGAACACGCACTCTACACCCAGGGCCTCAGCCTCTGTTCCTCTTATGCTCCATAGACCCTTCACCTCCCTCCCAGGACCCCCAACCCAAGGCTGTCACAATTCTGTTTCCATGAAACCCCAACTCCGCCGTCCCAACCCTTCAAGTTAAAACCCAAAGGGTGAGGCCAGCTGATAAACTGCAGGGTGGCGGAATGCTCAGTTAGCACCAAAGTCGACGACCCTACCTCCAACATTATCTTTCTGGGATGAATGTTTTCGTTGTCCCCTTCTCGTCCCGCAATATATTTCTCAATCTGTTTTCTGGGTCTGGTTGAAGGCCTCTTCCTGGGCAGCCTATCCAATAATCCATGCCGGGATTTACTGCCCACCACCAGCAGCGTGTGGGGGGGGGTAGGCCGCATAGGGTCCCTCTAGGGAGGGGGAGGATCCTGGGGGTCCTGGGGGTGCAATAAGCCCGGCACCCCCTCTCTTGCTTCCAGCTACCCCGCCTCACCCTACTGAACGGCAAGAGGGAGGGAAATAGGAGGGAGTTGAAGGGCGAGCGGGAAGAGCGGCGGCGCGCCAGAGGCTTGAGCAAGAAAAAGTTTTTGCATTAGGGAAAAAAAAGTTTGCGCTTCTCGCGGGTGGTCCCGGCTCGCAGCCCAGCGGGCTGGGCCGGCGGGAGGGCTGGGGGCCAGGTTAGGGGGGTGGGGGTGGCACTGAGGCTGCGCTGCCTTGGCCCAGTCCGCACCCCCCTCGCCACCGCACACCCCCCAGCCCAGATCCAGCCCTGGACCGCGCATCCCGAGCCCAGCGCCCAGACGGAGGTGAGAAGGGGGGGAAGGCGGGGGACCACCTGGGAGAGGTGGGGGAGGGGGTCTGAAGAGATGCTCTGCTGGCGAGGGACTCTACCCAGCTTAGAGGGAGAACTGGGGCACAAGGCAAAATTGGGGTAGGAGAGGCTGGGGTGAGATATTAGAAAGTTTGGAGAATTTTTCCATTTGTATCTCCCTTTATATCTTTTTTTTTCTTCTGACAGTCTGTATGTCTGTCTGTCTGAGGCAACCGTGGATCTCTTTGTCTGTCTCTACCTCTCCCATACATTAGAAACATCTCACTTTCATGAGGTTGGGATGAAGAGGCTGGAGGGACGGCTAGCTGGAGGTCTGCGTGTAGAGAGGGAACTCCAGGTGTGTCTCTGAGCGCCGGCAGGAGGACGTCAGTGTTTCTGAAAGGAGGGAACAGCTAAAGACAGAACGCCAGGTCGGGTGGGGATGGGTGTGCGTGAGGTGACAAAACCACAGGGGGTGGCTGGGCCAGAACCCCTGACCTGTCTTGTGACAGATGTGCTTGCTGGTGCATGTGTTTTAGGAAAAGGTGTGTTTTCCAGACAAGGAAGAGGGCTGGAGGGACCAGTGTCTAGTTTAGGCCCTAGAAAGACTTCTCAAGGACTATGGACACCTGAGTCCCAAGGCTTGTGGACAGGATGCTCAGGAGGAGCCCACAAGCCCTTGTCTTGACCCTCTGACCTCAGGACCACCAGGACAGCTGGGGCCAGCAGCAGGGAAACCCCTACTGGGACTGGGCGGGACCACTGGCCACTGCCTGCCGGTGCATCCGTGTTGGTCCCCCTCCCAAACGGGAGCTGGGGACCGAGGCCCCTCCTCTGACTCGGACCACCCTGCCTGCCCTTTCTCCCCGCTCTGAAGCCTCTTTCAAGCCCCGTGACCCCGAAACAATCCGCCTTCGACAGCTAGCTTTGGGGACAGGATTAGGGAAAGGGGATCCCATAGAGACTCAGAAATGAAGATTTTAGGGGGCTGGAGAACTGGGGTCTTCGTAGCGTAGGTCTTCGCGGCCCGGTAGAGGGAGAAGGCGGGGTGATTTCTCCGGGGAGTTGTGAGGGCCGGAGTTGGGGTGGTTTTCCCTAGGGGGGCGGGGTCCAGACCCCCTCCCCCACTATCTCACCGGCATCCCCGCCTGGCGGCACAGACCCCGCCCTTTACGTCACTGAGGGGGTTCCCGGGGGTCTGTTGGGGTTAACCCTTGGGAAGCCAGCCGGGATACCCAGGAACCTCATGTGTCCTGAAGGCTCTCCTCTCCACACACACCTTATTTTATTTATCTGGTCCCGTTCTCTCTCTACAGTCTCTGGATTCTTCTTTCTTTTCCACCCCGACACTAGGACCCCCCACCCTGCGACAGTGCCCCACCCCCGGGCGCCGCTGCCAGCTTTCTGGATACACTGAGGGGAAAGGGAAGAATGTGTCCCGCCTCTCGGCACTGCCCCCCCTTCACCGCGGCTCGCTCCACTGGGCTCCGGGGCGGGCGGGGAAAGCGGAGCCGTCTGCAGCCAGAGCCTGCGGCGGCGACTTGGGTGGGCCGAGGAGGCGCGGGGGCGGAGAAGGCGGGACGCGGAGGAGGGGGCGGGGCCGGCTGCTGGGCGCTGGGGAGCGGGGTGCGGGAGGGGCTCCGGGAAACGGGGAGACGCAGAAGGTGATCAAGGGCTGCAGCCGCAGAGCCCCGGGGCTGGCCCCCTGTCCCATCCTGTGCACACATCCACACCCCAGGAAAACGTAACTGGAGCTGGAAACGTTGGCAGAATTTTCCCTTCGTTAGTGTAAAGCGGAGTTGTGGGTGGGCTGTGGCACGCGTGGGCGAGGAGGGATGTCGCCCCGCTGCCATCGCGGCTCCTCTGTGGCTGGGCAGCGGGTCGAAAAGATGACTGAATGGGCACGTTCTGGGGAGTCTCTAGTGTTTTGGGGTCGTTCGCGACCCCCGCCTCCTTCCCCTGGGTGAGTCATAGAAGGAGGCGGGAGGAGTGTCCCCCGACCCAGCTGCCAGCCAGCTGTGCCCCCCCAAAGTGCCGGGGTCCAGTTGGGAGGTCTCGGACGCGGGATCCGCACCTCCCCAGGAAGGGGGCGCCCTGGGCTGCGGGGCTCGGGCGGGTCGCGGGGAGTCCGCTCCCCATCGCACCCCGCCCTCGCCCCGAATCCCCGCATCCCGGGATCACCCACCGCGCGGCCGGCCGCTCCCGGGCCTTCCCCGCCCCGCCCCGCCCCGCCCCGCCCCGCCCTCGGTCCCGGGAGACCGGAAAACCCGAGGTGGAGCGGAAACCGAGGTTTGGGGAGGAACGCGTTCGGCGTCACTCTTTGCTCTCTCACTGCTCCTAATGGATGATGACTTTGTTGTTTTGTTGTTTGTTTGTT